TTCCTGTGTTTCCGGATAGGCCTGCAATCTTCCATGTTGTGAAGAGCGAATTTAGGTTTGTTTGTTTTCAAAATTTCTACATTCTGTCGGATTTTATCCATTTATACTTGCTTATATATATATATATATATATATATATATATATATTCATCATCTACGCACTTCGTGGCCGAGGGAGAGTTCTAGAGCACGTCGGATCTAACGATGGATCTCTCTCTGCCCAGGGAAATGCAGGTTTTCATATATATATACACACACGCACACACACACACACACACATATATATATATATATATATATATATATATATATATATATATATATAGTAGAATCCCTCATATCCGGAATCCCGCATATCCGGACATGATTCTGATGTGTATATTTGAACTATTTTGTGTGATATGTAATTGATTTGAAATTTCTGTTTTTCAGGAAATTTACTTTGGATAATTGCTTATGTTTATTTCACCCTAATGGCTTGTAAAAAAATGAGGAAAAGAACATCTTTGGAGTTTTCGCAAAATGTGAAAATTTGAAACAGACTAGACGCTAGTGAAAGTTCATTGTAACTAATGGCTGAATTCGACATTGGAAAGTCAACATTGTATGATATAAAATCTTCCAAAGAATCTTCCAAAGAAACTATTCTCCAGCGTTCACATTGTAACAATGAACAAGGAAATAAAAAACATGATTGTGATGAAATCTGGACTGAAAATGAAAAGGCTATTGAAAAGGTTGTCAGTTTTATGGGAAAAAGCCAGCATTCTGCTATGTCGATTGCAATAATGCACGTAGAGTTGAAAAGTCTCTTTCGTTTAAAAAATTTCAAGAAAAAAAAGCAAAAATAGTTGAGAATAACATTAGAAGAGAAAGAATCATCATTCAAACAGTGATTAAAAATCCTCGTTACATTATTGTTTTGCGTACATGACATACTTAATTTAATGAATTTTCATTAACATTACATAATTTATTTGTTTTTCTAAGAATCAATTTCGTTATATTTCACTAACCATTAGCTTATTTTGTTTATTATAAAACATGGAAAATAAATGTTAAACCTGATTTCAATTCTTTTCTTTTAATCTAAATTAACTCCTCATATCCGGGCTTTGTAACCAATTCCTCATATCCAGAAAGCATTTTTACTCCGGTTGTCAGGGATTCTACTGTCTATATTTTTCTTCAAACTTTATTATAATGGTTAATTTGTATTTGAAATAGATGAGCCATTTTATTAAATAGTGATTCTACGTAATTAAAATACGAGGTATCCACTATAATAACGTTTGACGTATATATATATATATATATATATATATATATATATATATATATATATATATATATATTCAACTCACTCGTCCAATTCGAATTATGAGGGTAAAGCAGCTCAGTTCCTAGGAACCGAAAGCCTGACACCAGCACAGAGATTTGATTATAATGGTGAAGTTTTTGTGCAGAACCATCCACATTTTTTGAAGGGCAGAATATCGAGACCTGGTGCACTACATGCCAGAAGGTCTGCAAAAGACCTTCCGTAGGTTTTGAATTCAGAGTTGTCCTTCTCCTAGACCAGTTGCCTTCCAAACTCTATAGAATCCAGTCTGTCCTGCTAATTACCCAGTTGGAGGGAGAAGAGGATTTACACCTTTCCCAAGCGTATTAGTTCGTAAGTGAATGTAATGGATTCGACTGCAATTCGAACTCGGCTCTCCGAGCCGCTACCCACTACTCCACTGTGCCTCCTAACGCTAATAATAGCTGCCACCAACGACGCGATTGAATCCCAAATTTCACTTTCGATAACTCCAAAACGGTAGATTTAATCAAATTTATCAAGCCAGATTCAAATGGAGCATGTACAATTACACATAAATGTAAGTATTTTGGAATTTTTAATGCGAACTGAGTGCGGGTGTTACACTGCAAATTAACCGAATAAAGTTCGTTTGTGAATATTTAGAGGGATGCCTAATGCGACCTGAAAGTTAGCCTGGTGCGCTCCAAATTAGACGAAGATTAATTTAATATATTTTTATTTTTAAAATCGTTAAAAAGGTTGTGACACCAAGCAATGTCTTCCATGTCTAAGTGAAATTGATTGATTCATGCATTCATTTTTTATGCCTTTGCAGGTTATTTAAAGCCAGAAATTATTTTTAGATTTTAAGACATTTTTTGGTTTAGTGATTACTAATTAACTCATAGCTGTGGGGGAAAAGATAAGAATTCATACTTTTCCCAAGAGTCTTTGCGCGTAAGTGAATATAACGAACCCAACTGGAACTGAAACTCTGTTCTCCGATTAACAATTCCGAGCTATTATTTTTTACACCACCTGCACACCCAACCTTACAGCACCTGGCATTCACAAACGGTCACCCATCTAGGTACAGTTCAAGCTCGACGTTGCTTAAGTTCGTAATTGTACAGGAAACGATGTTTCAACGTGATGTGGTCGTAAGCTGGTTTTTAATAGTATTTGCCTTAAATAATTTTAGATCGTAAATTTTTTTTTTTTTACATAATAATGATTTAGTGACACAAGTCTTACTAATAAACCCATACCTTGGGGGAAAATAGGTGGATTCATAACTTTCCCAAGGCTATTTTCGCGTAAGTGAATATAATGAACCCAACCGGAATTTGAACTCGGCTATCTGATTTCCAGTTCCGAGCAATCGTCCAAGTATTCCCAAATAGTTACCCACTTTGGTACTGACCAGGTTAGACGTTTGCTTAACTTCGGTGATCGTATGGGAACGGGTGTTTCAATGTCTTTGTCATTTGATATTTTAAACTGAATGTTAAATTCCTTAATCTTTAAAGAATAGATAATCCTTTCCCTTTTGCATTCCTCAAGGGAATTAAATCCGTCATTATCGGCCTTTCTAAAAATAGTTTCTTCATAAAACCCTTTAAATGAAGACTGTACTGCTAAACTTCTTTGGGAATGCTAAACCAAAATTTCATATTTTCAAATTTCATATTTTCAAATTTCATATTTTCAAATTTTATGACTCATTTTTCCTTATTTTTTTTCATATAAAATTTAAAGCGCATCCCATAGTTTTAGTTATTCTACAAGTGCACACTTAGATAAAATATTTGAGAAATACAGATTTAGTGAATTCTAATAACTTGGGGTATACCCTGTATAGACTGCTTAACTTCGATAATCTAACGGGAACCCATGTTATCAATGATGAAGAAGAGACTCGAAACATCAAAGGTGTGTTTCTTCAGACAGATGTTGAGAATGCCATGGACAAAAACCTGAGCAACGAGGAACCTCTAAAGAAATTAGGAGCTACTGTATATACTCGAATATATTGCTCGTTTTTATGATTGTTTTTCCCGCCAAAAAATAAGGAATCGCACTATACACAGGTAATTTTCCGGCAACACACATTTAAACAACCCTAGTTTCTAGCAAAATAAACAAAAATCAACATATGTGAATAGAGTCATTTTTTACTTAGAATGAATTGAATTATCATAACCCAAAATATGTACCTCAACTCATGCAACTGCATTATGTACCAGTAATCCTGACAAAAATGTTGCCATTGGGAAAACAATACCACAGCGATGTAAGCACTGGGAAAACAAAGATGAATGTAGATTTGAAATAAGAAAAAATCTATTAATTCTTCTTTTATATAAGGTATTTGTTAATTTTAAGTGGCATACATAGTGAATGAGATTTTGTGCTTCTTGTAGCGACAAAAGGGAAGAAACTTAGGCTATGCAGGAGGCAGGTTCAGAGTAAATGTGCTACCGTTGCCAGGCATGAACGTAAACAAAAGTACGGTATATTTTACGTCTAGTAGTTTTTCTCACCATTTTGGAGTAGTTTTGTGCAAAAAAAAAGGATGAAGATCATTTATTTGCTATAAAATATGTCCGAGTGATGCCAAGTACTTCAATATTCGATTACGGTATGCCTAATAATATTATTGTTAGGGTCGTATTATGCACAAGCTATATTGATAAAACAGTTTTTACACAATAAATTCAGGGGTCGCTCTATGCCTGAAGTAGTCTTTTACACGAGTCTATACGATAGATAGACATTTTTATACATAAAAGACAAAAAAAAGAGAGTTGAATTTTCTGAGACATCTTAATGGTAAAAGATTCCTTGGATAATTTGACACTCGCAATGTTGTAACCTAGGGAAGGTTACTGAACAGAATAATCAAATGAAGGTTGGTAATGAACGATAATACTTAGGACAAGAACAACACATATAAGATTCGCCAGAGGCGCGTAGAAGTAGTAGTCAACTGCTAGAAGTGAGTCAAGTGAATTCTACAATGAATCTCCAACTGCAGAATATCTACCAACCGCTCCACGCGATCAGATGTGAAACAAGGCCAAATTTAATATGGGATATCCGAGTCAGTAGGCTCGGCCAAATATTTCCCGTAGATCCCGTGTAAAACGAGTCGCGTAGCTGTTTCCCAAGACGAGACTTTGCAACTTCGATATAGCCTTGTCTGGGGAACCCTTCTGCCCGGAGGCAGATAGTTTGACCAGCACAACCGGGGACGAATCTCCAACTGCAGGATATCTACCAACCGCCCCACGCGCTCAGATGCGGCACAAGGCCAAATTTAATGTGGGGTATCCGAGCCCATAAGCTCGGCCAAAAATTCCCCGTAGACCCCGTATAAAACGGGGTAGGGTAGATGTTTCCCGAGACGAGACTCTGCTCGTGGACATAGCCTCGTCTGGGGATCCTCTCTGGCCGGAGAGAGAGTTTGACCAGCACAGCTGGAGACGAATCTCCAACTACAGACCAATATACAGTATTTACTACTGTATTTATGTGAATGGGGACATACCCATCATCCTCCGTATGTATGCTACAACACATAGGATACATTGAAGGTAGGTGTATTTGGCATAGGTTTTCTTTCGACGTTTCCTCGGATAGCTTCAACAACTACATTCTTAGTGCACCGGTGGTTGATTTTTCGGTAAGCCTTTAGTCTTGTTTCATTGGAGTTTGTTGCTTATTTTAATATTTCACCCCAAGCAAGACGATAATGCCACTAGAATGCAGAGGGTTACAGGGAGTGAAAGAGAATAGAGATGATTGAGGAAAGAACAAAAAAGGAACAAGTTTCAAATAGACAGAAGATGGCGATTGACATTGCATTTAAGTTTTTGAAGATTGTAGATAGCAGTGAATCAAAAAATAGGAAGGGAGTTCCACAGGTGAGAAATACAAGAAATGAAACTCTTAGAATAGAAATGGCTGTTGCATCTAGCTAATTCAGCAATAAAACGGTGTCACCTAGCTGAAAATCTAGTAGCACGATTAAATTCATGCACCAGAGAAAAAAGCTCATGAAAATATTTGTAGAAAAACAGCAGAAAACCACGTCACGTCGGTGAGAAAGTAACTGAAGTCGAGATTCTAAGTAATGATTGCTTATATTATATACCCTTCTTTGAATTTTATCAAGAATATACTTAAATACTAGTTTTTAGTTCATTGTTAACGAAAATGACATCGATTTTAATAGCGGAAGAAAATAAAAATCATTTAGCGTTTTGCCAAATACTGCATCAAAAGTTTCCAGAGTAGAAGAGGAAGTTACTATTCTTTTATAAGAATACAGCAAGAAATTCTTGCGTGGATAATTACAATTCTTATTCCCTTTTAGATTTATGACCTGGACTTAATATTTATTTATTTCTGTTTATCAAACATTTTTGTTGGACCTCGATGTTAAATGGAGATGACCACGCCGAAGAAGAAATATGTATTTACAGATAGAAATTTGAGATAATCTGTGACTCATCAGCGCAGCCATATTTATGGAGACAAATTGGATAAATTCGTATAAAAGATGGCGTCGAGGCACACAACCATATATACTCAGGAATATTTGATGCATGGATACTTATAACCAAGACTCTTTCTTTCTTTCTTTCTTTCTTTCTTTCTTTCTTTCTTTCTTTCTTTCTTATGTGCGGGTGGTATAATGTATAGCGGCTTGAAATGAGGAAAACCGAGTTCTAATTCCAATCAAATTTGTTACATTCACTTTCACACAAATACCATTGGGAAAAGTATGGATCCTCTTATCCTCTTCCCAGCTATGGGTTAAATAATAAGACTTCTATCTCTAAAACTCATTGTTACTTCAAAACAATTGTTAATTCAATATTCACTCCCCCAAAAAGACATACTTACAATTCAAAATATGCTATCAGCTTTAAATAATCCACAAAGGGTTGATAAGCCGTAAAAACAAATTAATCTATCTTTCTCTCCCTCAATCACTCCTTATATAATTTTTCTTTACTTATTACAATTGGTTTCGCACAAACGTCTGTAGCGTTTTCCAATAGGTAACATGATTCTGTTTCATACACATCTGAAATTTAGTATACACTAGATTAAAAGTCGCCCTATCAGGCGCCATTTAAGCTAGCTCCTGCGGCGGTCTCTTGATTGAGCCTTCGGTTTGTTCAGAAGTTTGAGAGTGCCTTAGTCTTTTCATATTCTCGGCATTGGGAGCTCTCCTGGCTACCGTTTGATCTGGATTTTCATTTGAATGGGATTTTCTATTCCTCGCTGCAGCCTTGGCTCTTTTGATTGCAATATGGTCCTCTGTTGGCGAAGATTTCTTTTTGTAAGGTATACTGCTGCCTTATGCGATAGGCAACATTAAGCTACAGAAGAACTCAAAATTGATCGCTGCATTTAAGTATTGCATTAATATTTAAGCTTACCTTTTAAAAGCTCAACACTAATTCTTCTGTCACCAAAAGACAATTTGATGTGCGTAGGTCCTTACTTTCCCCACAAACAATTATTTTACTTTCACTAGATTTCGCAATTAATTTCAATTATTCTCAAATTTATTTCCAAGTTGCAAAAATTGTTATCGTACAAAAAAAAACATGTAAAAAAGTCGCCGAAAGCAATCACAGTGATGAAAACTTAGGAATCCGAAATTTTTGTAACATGAGCTATTGAAAGTTAAAGAGTTGTGTCCCTTTCATTGAAAAAGTGTGACACAGTGACACACTAGCATTGGTATTTATTATATAGAAAAAGATGAGCTATTGAGAGTTGTGTCCCTTTAAGTGAAAAAGTGTGACACACTGACATTAGAATTTATTATATAGAAGATGAGATATTTAAAAGTTAAAGGGCACTTTAATTGAAAAAACGTGACACACAGACATTTTCGCATTCATCATATAGAAGAAGATGATATATTTATAACTTAGAGAGTTGTGTCCCTTTAAATGAAAAATGTAACACTCAGATATTTTCACATTTATTATATAGATATATATATCTTGAAAGGTGACATTTTAACGAGTCTTTCTCTACATTTCGCCACGTCTTTCTATCTTATTCGCGTGTGGGCAAATAGGTTACATTTATTTAGGATCACGACTTCCAGATTGCTTATTTATTTGCATATATATTATTTATTTTTAATTGATTAATTTAAATTATTAGTTGTTTAGTTTTGTATATGTTTTCTTTTGTTTGCGGGGTTGTCAGGGATAAAGTTAGATTATGGGAATTTTAATTTAGTCTTTTTATTCATTTGGCGGTTATAGACATCGAAGAAGGAAATTGTTTTAATGTCTACATTTGGAAATGAGTTCTAATATTTCGTTTAAGAGTTTAACTTGTTCTGGAAAGGTAAATGTCACTATTTTCTCCTCTAGGTAAAGGTTACATCATTTGGAGATGTTCCTATAAGATACTGTTGGTTTTGTTTTTCTTATTCTCCAT